CCTACTATGCATTTTATTCACACAAATTTTCTTTTGCATTTCCAACTTTGCTATAATACTATTCTATTTATTGTGACTAAACACTTTACTCCAAATCATCCTGACCCTTATTGAATGACTTTTCTAATTTGCAGATAATACAATTTTGAAGTATATATATATCGTAACAGATGCAAACGTGCACCATTTTTAAACACATAACATTGTCAAATTCATTAATACATGCCTTATTTTTGGCCTTTGTAAAATATTATAATTATGGACTTATAATTGTAGAGCCTGATAATGAAGTTATTGAAAACAATTGTTCGCTCAAATATTCTTCATTTTTGAATATTCTATGGGGATTTTTAAGATTATTAAATACTCAAACTATTAAACTTTCACATTTCCCCTACTTGTGAGATTTTGAGAAAATTATTATTGTATGTTTTATCGCTACCAATTTATTACGGAATTTTCACTCAATCCTTTTTCACTTTTGGTGTGGCTGTACTCATATTGTAAATTCTTAATTCTGTTGATCTGTGGTCAGGATTTCACTCTAACTTGTATGCAATTTATTCCTTAATTTTGAACTGTATAATCAAAGGCTATCTGCTTACTAAATCATTCTATACTCTGGCTATCAAACAAGCAAGCGTGAGAAATTATATTCCGGACTAATCGTAACTTAGTGTTACTCTCGACTTCAATCTTATATTTGTCATGTGATTGGTTGGCCGAAGATCATTGTTATTAAATAGACAATCGAGGCGAGTTAATCAATAAGACTGATTTCCTGTTTTACAGTCCGATTTCATGGGTCTCAAATAAATTCAACAAGATCTGTTCATTTTCACTGAAACATCAAACACAAACCCTATCAACAGTACCATTTTCATAAACATAAAAAACGCAACACTTTAGCAAACATTTTAAATGATTTGCATCCTTTATGTAATATATTCATTTTACCCAAGTATCAATAAGCAAAAAATACCTTTTTTCTAAACGTACTCTTCGAAAAGTAAAATATTATTTATTTATTTATTGTAGGACAAAAATATATTTTCCGTGGCGCGCATCCACAAACCACAGGCGGGACTCGAACCCAAGACCGCCGGTCTTGCATGTGCACTGCCGAGGAGTTTTATACTCGGACGAAACAACCGTCCAGTGCTTTCAGGTCTTCAATGGTGATCTAGCTTAGGTCGGCTCGTGAACTCAACTGAAAAATACTACAATCTCCACAAAACCCCATACTGATAGTTTCTGAAGTCTTCAAAAAAGATTCTTAAAGTATAAAACGTTGCAGAAGTTTTATAGTCATTCCACGGTATTCTTTTTCTGAATAGATGAGGAAATCTCTGAATAACTTGTTTTGCACCACCACTTTGTCTTTTAGTGACGAATGTTACTTATTGGCTCTAAGTAGCTATTCGTACCTATCGATTATGATCTGGAGAACGTCAACTTAATAGAACGATTATTTATCATGACTAAATACATTTTTGTGTTAGGTACCTAAAATGACTAACCAGAAGACATAGCTCTTTCAAACTACTCAATGTCAAATAATCGATTCTGTTTACTTTTTTATATTTTAAAATATAGGTGATAAACAGGTCGTTTCTATAACATTTTCACCTGACCATGATAGTGAAGCATACCAGCAAACTTATTTGATAACACTTCATTCACAAGTAAACCTTTTTTTGATTAATTTATATCTTGACAATCGTAATCTCTGTGTTTACATTATTATACGTTTCTCACAGTGCATTTTTTAGGTTCATAGAAATAATAAGGAAACGCTGTTTAATCATAACACTTCATTCCTATTATCTTCATTGGCACGATGATGGCTATTAGGAATACTACTTAACGTATCTTAACATATGTTTTATTTTCTGATACATTTCTTAGTGTTAGATGAATAGCATTAATCGACTACAAAGCTCCAGGATTCACTTTTATTCTTGCTGTTGAAACTCGTCATGAAAGTTTATCTACATCCATCCAGAAATTCGTAATCTCAGAGTGACAACTACAATAGCTTGATTGTCTAGAGCAGACACAATACCACTGTATTTTCCTAGCAGTAACTGATCCTTTACAAGATAAGTCAAATAAATAAATTCATCATTAAACAGAAACCAGTGTCATGCTATTTGTCCCGCAGTAATGACCAAATATTTTTCATTAGATCTCTGGACATTAGTCAGTTGTTGATAGACCACCATGGAAAACCTGGAAGCACTATACTGCTATTATTAAAATTCTTAGTATTTAACATCAGTTTTCATACTTTCAATACTCTTCTGTGAAAGTGATTTACACCCTTATAAATAATCTACTAATTAGTTTTGTATAATTATGTGTGAAGTACATATGACAGGGTTATAAATTGCGAAACATCCTCGTTTTTACTCTCAATGAAGTGGCCAATCATTAAGAAAAGTTAATATCTTTTCATTACTCTGGAAAGATGACATTATTCATTCATATTATACTCCAAATAGAAACAAAAATGTTCATAAATTATGTACAAATTCTAAAAACTTTACATTTTTACATCTGTAACGCTTTCATTTGGTGTTGTTTACATGTATCTTCCCATTGTTATTTAAGACTGCAATTGATCAGTCTCATGTTGGCATATGTGTATCATGTGCTAATGGCCTCGATATAGCCTTGCGTCACAAGCTTTTTAAGTAAAGACGAATAGTGGTTAGCAGTGGAATACAGGGCTCACGTTTCGTTCTATTTGGGATTCGGCAGCTAGATGTACCTGCATCGCAGAATTGATGTTCACTCCAGGACTCGGATAACACGATGGCGTTTGAAGCGAACGGTACTGGGTTCGAGTCTAGAGTGAACATCAACTCTGCGATGCAGGTACATCCAGCTGACGAGTCCCAAATAGGACGAAACGCGCGTCCTGGATTATTATCGGTTATTCTTGTTTTTACAGTTTGAAGTTTGTTAGTCTGTTTATGTTGAAATGACTTACAAGTAATATTTAACGGAATCAAGTTGTAGACAAACTGAACCTGAGATTAAAATTTGTTACAACAATATAACTAGTATGTGTCCCATTTTTCAAAGATTTATTAACCTGATAATCAACTATTTCTTTTAACAATTAATTTAAACTTTCAATTATAGAACTTGATAGAAACATCTTGAAAAGTATATTCTTCGTTCATGTCTACATTTTGTTTGTACAAAAGAACAATAAATTAGACTAATTTTATTAGTACTGAAAATTCAAAATACTTTTATTCTCTACTATTAGATATATAACTCACATAAATTAATTCTTACTGGAGCATGTAAACAACATAACTTGTATATCCGTGGTGACCGACTGGACAATACTAATGATATACTTTTTACAAATGTACAAAATGATTTTCTTGGTGCACAATTTTTAACTGAAACAAAAGAATCCAGTAAGCTGTCGTGAATAATAATTATTATATTTCTTGTCGATAAAATCTAATTACTTCTTTTTAATACCTGTTCACCGTAGGATAGCACCCGGACTCTATATATAAGCCTTCGAGCTTCGGGTTTAGCTCACAAGACAATGGAGCGGCTCTGTATGATACACTTTTATGGTAACAGGTAGTAAAAATAAATATGTGGCCCATTAGTTTTCTGAGAACCTTGAAGCCCGTGTGTACAATTAGCTTGGTATCAGAGTTTCTCGACTCACCTGAGTGAACTATCCGTATTCATCTTACCTTTTTAAGAGTTAAATATTCTCTCGGCTTCGTAAAAATCACCCCACCAAATGAATTTTGTGAGTAGTACTTCCTCGGCATAGGTTGAATGTATGAGGACGTTTCAAGACAGAAGGTAAACACTAAACACTCACCCTCATACTGAGCCATATAATTAACGAATTTTATTTCAAAGACACGTTATGGTTAAATAAAAATAGAAATTCTGCAAACCATTTAAGTTGATTGCACAGATTCAAAGTCTTTTTAAGAAAAACTTAACACTGTTCCCTAATGCAGCATTACGTTTTGTGAACTTCAAGAATAAATTGTGTCAAGCAATCCATAAAAAATCTGTTTAAGATTAGTAAATGTTTTAAAATATCGCTTGCAGAATGCAGCTCTTCAAATAATTGATTGTTCTGTAATAAATAATTTAATCTTTACTACCAAGAATGGTACTTTGTATCTAGCTGAGTAGATGATAATAAAATACAATAAAGTCATAGCATTCTGCAAATCATATTGTTTTTGTTTTGGGCATAAATGACTAAGACAACCAGTGAAAGTAAAGTTTACCATTCATCAAAATTATGAAACATTTCGAAAAGTCAGATAGTTTTGATTTTATCCTATACTGTCTGTTCGGCTCAACTTTTGATAACCAGAACAGTCATCAAATGTTTTTATATCTATAATTTAGAAACAACCTCTTATCTAATAATAACTGGCCAACAGTCCTCTTTAGTAAGAGAGGATTCGAATACAAATAGTGAGATAGAACCAATTGAAAAGGAGGATACAGATAACCTACCTACTAAAAAAGAAGTAAAACATAAAGAAACTCCTGCTAGAAGAATTTTATACGCTGGTTATGTTCACTCCTCAAGTAGTGGTACAAAAAAGGTTCGTATATTGATTGTTTATTAGTTGTATACTGCAAATTATATTTTACTAGTCTAGTTAACAGTTTGTTTTGTGTTATGAAAAAGGAATTTTCAGATTACAATTAGAATGGGTGTAAATTCATGAACTTACTGCAAAAGTATTTTAATGTAACAAAATTATTTTTTTTAAGTAAAATGGTTTGAGGTATCTGGAAAGTTTCTGTTCCAAATAAATAGTTTGACTCTGCAAAATATGTCAAATAGCTTTATTCAAAGACTATTTGACTGCTAATGGACATTGTTTCTAAATTTTTCAGGTGTATTCATCTATTTGACTGACATGATGAAAATCTCGTTTACATAATTGAATATATTTGTACTGGCAATGATAATACGTTTAGTCAAACATCAATAACTTAATTATAAATAGAATGTTAAACGATCATTCATGTAAAAGACCCACTTTATAACGAAACTTTGTATGACTCTAAGTGTACAGCAGAGCAATATGATGTTGGCATATTAATTCATTAAAATAATAAATCGATAACTTTATTTATCAATAAAGACAAATCTAAGATAACGTTTGAGCTTTAATATTCAGTGTCGATAAACCCACTAGAATTCTTGTAATTCTCAACCATCACTTTTTCAAGAAAACAAATTTACGTAATAAGACGTGCTTTTTGTTATCATATGCGATGTCCGAAATCCGATACTGATGAACAGTGTGCTATATGCTAACCCCCCTCAACTGACTACTTGATTGAGTACACAAGAGTGAGCGAGAATGTGTATTGGGTTACCGGATGAATTGCACAAATACTCATTCATATATGTACCACTCTTTCCTCAAAAAATCGACCCATTGACCCAATTAACTGCACTTGATCTTAAGTGACTTTTGATTCCCATCGACTGACCCTTTTGCTACTTCTGATTGGCTCTCCATATTACTTTTAATGCCAGACCTCACGGAACCAACAAATATGTTGTAATCTATTTAAATACAAACTAGATGTTGTTATTTGATTTCTATTATCTGTCCCACAACTTTATTATTACCTAGATACTTGAAATTACTCAAGAAACGTTCTGTTAGTGTTGTGCCTTTTGAGCTAATAAAAGCAAAGCTTTTATTGTAACTCAGGACAACATTATCACATACTTCATCATAGGTACTAATGATTATGTACAAAACCTCATAAAAGTACTATTCGTTTGATATTGAAATGCACTAAAGAGTTTCTATAAATTGAAATGGACTAAACTGTGATATTTCTAGTAACTTTTTATATAAAATTTACTGTAACTGTGGTGTGTTCTACATATACTGACGTAAGTAGTATATGACGTTACTCGTGAACAGAAGGTCTGGCAGCAGAGAGACAAGAGAATCGAACAGTAAAGAATGGGAACAGAATGCAATTTGTATGAAAATGCAGGAAAAATGAAGTCTGAGTCATTATGAGACAATTGATGGACAATTTGCAAATTACGTATTTACTATTTGATTGTTAGATTTTATTAACAAGTCCTGTAATGTTGAGTCAAATACATTCGATTATCCCCACTGGTGTTCTGTTCACTATATAACCACTATAGCGTATCAACATAATCTAACTCCCTTTACACTGGTGTTCAAAGAACCAATCCCTAATTATACAACGTTAGAAAAACTAATCTTTAGACTGAAACTGATTCTCACTAATTTCGTTTCTTTTTTAATATTACTAACCTTCTGTTAATTCTATGCTAACATAATACTTTTTAAATCTAAATTTTGTTTAAACTAACAGAGTGGTGAATGTACAATAGAAAATTTAAATGAATTATCCTCTCTTGGATTTACTGTTAGTCCAACAAAGGTAAGCATTTTATTACTTTAACAGTAAAATTATTAACAATAATTAATTCATTAATTAACACTCTTCAATAATTTTTATATATTCTGAATAAAAACTAGTTTTACATGAAAATTATTTTGGATCATAAAGGTCAGTTTAGTACTGATCATAAATTATTATTATTCTCTGAAGAAGTGGCTTACACTAAGTCACGAAACGTCAGGAAATCTAATTTTTCTATTCATTGGGATATTACAAATATATTACTTTTATTTATTTTAAGTCAAGTATTTATACTTGATTGATAATGTTTCAATAGTCAATTTATTAATCTACTATGATTATCTACAGTATTTTTTCTTTATAAGATCTAAATATTATATAAATGAAATTAAGAAATTTCAGCATCTATTCCATAACTGTAGTTTTCCATATACATAATTTAATGAATAGTAAATAATTATTTTGTTACATGTTGAGTATTGCTATGTCTTCTTGTAAGAATTAGTGACCAGTGGAGTTCAACTGGGTAGTCGTGAGATAGTAACTCATTGAAGACAATGATGGATTAGTTAAAGTTAGATGCCAGCTCAGTGGTCTAGAGGTTAAGCGTTCGCACGCGAGACCGATGGGTCCTGAATTCAAATCCCGTGAGGCGGGATCGTGGATCCGCACTGCTGAAGAGTCGTACATTAGGACGAAACGGTCGTCCAGTGCTTCCAGGTTTTCCATGGTGATCTAGTTTCAATTGACTCATAATCTCAACTATTGAAATTCTAAGAATTTCTTAGAAGGTTTTAATTACTCATTCACTTTGACTTTATTTTTTCATTTTCTAAATTGTTTCTCACACAGCTGATTTTAGAACCAGGAACTGAACAACCGATTATATTCACTTGGACTCCTAATCCAGATGTGAGGGTACGTTTACAATAGCTATGACTGTTACGTATTATGACTGGTTTCAACATTGACTAGATTTATGCTTCCATATAATTTCTTTGTCCAGATTATACGTTTTTTTTGGAGTAAACAGTATCCGTTTCGTGATGAAATACTTATAGCATTATACTTGGATTAAATGCGAGGTTACAAATCTTCATCCTGTATATATATATCATGCTGGATACAGTTTAGTTTAACTAATGAATAGCTATCATTATGAAGTTAAAGCTTGATGCTCTGTTTGCCTATAAAATCAAAAATTATCAACTGTCAAAGCCAGTTACTCATTAGAGAATAGATTATTCTTGATCAAATAATAGATTGAATCTTTAAGTTATGTTATTATTGAAATGTACTTTTTAATGAGAGATTAATTTGTTACATTTAGCCATAATTTTCCCTCTTTCACCGATTTTAATCTGTAAGCTAAGAATACAAATCTAAAATACAGTACTTGATAGTTTTGATCATATGCAAATGGAAATCATAAAGTACTTTAATCCCTGTTAATGTTTTGAAACAATGAAAATACTCGGTAGATAAATAACTGAATATTATGATTCGATTCTCTTTAACTTTTAACTTCCCATTTGATTCAGTTCATGAAAACTGTCTTTTTATAATAATGACTATTCCAAAGTAGAATAGCCATCACAATAGTATTTTTTATTAAAATAAACAAGCTTAAAACAGTACAGATATGATAAATGAAAAATGGAGTCTTCTGTTGATTCTAGATTCTCTGTAATACGATGGGAACCCATTTAAGAAAATCATTTGTTTGGCCGAGATATTCTAAAGGTACTGACAATATGCTATCATATTTTTTCGACAAATAAGTTAACAGGTATTTTCATAATGTTTAAAAGTGGCAAGCAATATGTATAAGTGCTTACATGGACATCCATTCGTGTTAAGATACAAGTTAGTTCTTACGCCTGGAAGCTATTTTCCTGAACTTCACTAAACGTTATTACATCGTTCATATGAAATACACTATTTAACATTAGGTACTCATCTTGTACATGTAGAATGAATGTATCATTACATAAATACTTAGTTGAATACATAGTATAGATATCATCCACTCAGTAAAAAGTACCTACTTCTTTATATTAACAAGCGTCGTACCTCTAAAAAATATTTAGCACCCTTTTTTCAAGTTCTCATTGTTTTACTCATAAACATTTCTCTCCTGTTTTCGGGTTGTTTAGACGGGATCGAATGTGAAGTCAATTGCTATAATCCAGCTTCGATCTGATGTGACTATAAATCATCAAGTCTTGTTGAGAGGTGTTTTGTGAAATCATCTACAATTACTCAGCATTGTCAACCACATTAACTAATAAGCATACTTTTCATACTCTTATAACTTTAAAAATCTTTTTATTTCAACAACAACATATTGAGATAGAGCAAGAATATGTTATTGATTAAATTTTGATTTCTTTTTATTTTCTTATACAGTAATTTCATTAAATCCTCACCATAAGATTTGCTCTAAATCAAAATTCCCAATCATAACTTAACAAAACTGTAGTTTTGTGGGTAATCGTACACCTAATAATTCAGAAAGTTAAAATAACCATTTCTAACCATCTAAGAACTTTTTCTAATGGGAACAAAGCTTTAGATTCCTGTAACTTTTAGCACCCATTGATTTAACAAAGACACCACATAGTGTAGGTGATAAGAAGTTGGTGTTGATGTACTTAATCCCATGGTAGAAAATTCTAAATAGTGTCTTTAATTATGAGGACCCTTGAAAATCTTGAAAAGTTCAATATCAAAAGTAACGGGAAGCTTTCTATGATTGAAAATTCATAGTCATTAGAGATACATGACATAAAAAAACTTTAAAATGAAAATGTATCTGTCGACTGTAGTAATTAAATAACAGAATATAAGAAGTGTCAGTTCTAATATTATGAATACTAAAGAATTCTCCATATTTTATCAAATATAAATCATTTATTTCAGTTTGATACAAGCTATATTACGAAATGATAGTTGTAAAGAACATAGGACAACTTTTTCGTCTTAGTCTTAGACACCTTGACACCATATACCCACCATGTACAGAGAATTGATTTCGCAACACCTAGGTCTCGTTGCACTTGAGTAGTAATCAGGATCTGTTTTAGTGCACAATAATAAATGCTAAATTTATCAACTTGAAGTTCAAAAAAATTAGTACTTTCGTGAGTACCGATTTTAAACAATTTTTTTGAATCTATAATAATTAACTTAAAAATGTAAAATACTCTAACAATCTTTAAGAAAATTGCTTTAAAAATCTTTATAGAATATTGTCATGATAATTAATATAAGAAATCCATATGGATTATAACAAATGAAATGAGAGTTAAGAATAATGCAAAGTATATATATATATGAGATATTTATTCAAACAATCATTGAACCATAAGTTCACTAGTTGTAATATATATTATATAATTATGAATCTAAAAGTATATAGCCTGATAACGAAGTTATTGAGTGAATTATTCACAAAAAGACTCTTTAGTTATTAAATAAACGATAAGCATTAAATTTAAATTTGATGGGATTCGTTTTATTGTATTTCGAAGAAAATCATGTAATAAGATTATATCACCTGAAATGATTTTTGTTTTAATCATAGAATCATCATTATAAATAAACGTTACTTACTCTGAAAGGTTTCAATTAATGTTCATTTATTCAAGTATTTTTGTTTTGCATGCTTTTGAACAATTTCTCCAGTAGAAATCCAAATTCATTCAATCAAATGTAAATAAAATTATTATGTTTCTTTTTTTTGGGGGGGGGGGTTCGTTAACAACAATAAGTTTCAATGTAATGTTTAAATTATACAATTTTATTATATAAATAAGTTTATGGTATTCTGCGATCATTTTCATGATACCATTCAGAAGAAGTTTGAATACGTTTCTCTAAATCATGTCCTGTTGAATTTAATCCATTTGTAACTTCAGATTCTACATTATTAATTTTTGTTAATTTTTCATTGCATTGTTTAGTAGTATTTTGACAACAATGATTAAAATGATTATCATTTGTAGATATGTGTTCTTTTTCACTAGCTAAAATCAATTTCTTCTTGAGATTTAATATATAACATATGAGACCTAAGAGAATAGCCCTTATTGACACTAAAATTGCCATACTAATAAAAAATCCACCATATCCAAATCCATCAATAATTGCACCAGAGAATAATGGTGCTAACAGCATACCAATACCGGCAATCATTTTTGTCATAGGAAATGCAATCGATCCATGAACCATCATTATCTCTTCTGAAGTAGCATATAGAAATGTATTGCCTACACCAACAGTAGCACCAGTAAATCCAGCCAGTACATAAACAACATTTAAATCTTCATATGTATTTTGCATAATAACCAGAAATAGGGCTGCAAATAGTGCTCCAATAAAGTAGGCGACTGCTAAATAACCTCGTATACGATCACCGATTAAAGCTCCAAGTGTAAATACGATTGATTCTCCTATACCAAAGTATAAATTAACTCGGGCACCTAATACCAGTTGATCATTTAATGCCTGACTTACATAAGCTGTCATGTTCATTAGTAAACCATATATTACGAGATTATGAAGTAAGCGTTCAAATCCCCAGACGAACACCTGCGGATTATTTTTCAAATGTTCAACTGAGCAAAAAGCCCATCCACGTCCATCACTGGCTTTCGGAGAATTACGTAGCAATAAAGGATCCTTTCTTAAGGCTTTGTTCATGGTATTTTCTTCAAAAGAATCAGAAAGCTCCAGAATAGCTTGGTTATATTCAAATATATCACGCGAAATAAAAACAATCCCGGCTAAAGATGTCACGAGTAAGAAAAGTAATCCACTTAGTTGAAATGCCACTTGCCAACCGTAGCTTTGTATTAAGTTTGAATACAATGGACCAAATATTAGTACACCATAAGGTCCACCGGAAACAAATGCAGTTGCTAAAACATGAAATCGATGAGATCTGTCAAAATACTCTTCTGTTACAAGACTTGTCCCACATAAAATAAGTGTAGATCCAAGGCCATGTATTAGTGTATGAGTCAGGAATAGATACCCTGGACTAGGCACCACTGCTGATGTCATACAACTTATAAAAATCAATAAACCGGCTAGAAGCATGGTACATCTATATGGTCGATTCCATCGAATTATTGCTGTTGTAGCGAAAGGCATTAAAAAGAACCCAACTGCAGCATAACTGTCACCAACCCAATTCAATTCCGTCATGCTCGTGTCATTATAAGCTTTGTGTAGAGCAGCAACAAATATTCCGAATGCCCTTCTTTTTCCCCCTATGCAAACAACATTCAGTGCAGCAACCAACAAAACCAACCATCCTAAATGACGCCATCCATATAGTTTTACACGGGCTCGTGAAAACTTCGCATAAATTGTGTGAAATATGCTTCGAGTTAATTGAGATGTTGCTTCTTCTTTTGTCATAGCAAATGTTATAAATCTTCACAATGTATTTTAGTTGTATTACTTTCTTTCTCTTTTGATATTTGTTTTATACTCCTGATGTTTTTCTTTATAAACTCTGTATGTCATTATAGTGGTACGTGTCTGTCTTGTTTATTCCACCCCTCTATCTTGTTATTATTCTGTCTAACCCTACTAGTGATTCCAACTAAAATGTTTTAGCGAATTTCAGTCACTCATTATATACTTGAGAAATAAAGTTTAGGATAGAAGAAAACAAAAATTTTCCTATAGTTTACATAACTCCGATATCAAATATATACAACTGATCACACAGACAAATACTCAGATTAATACATTTACAATACGAAACATTTCGACTAGTTCAATTTTTAAAATCAAACTTTTAATGGCAGGAAGCACAAGATACTTAATGGATTAAGACTAAATTAATGTATTGTTATTGCGCTGATTAAAAAGTGATTTGGCTTTGGAAGAACACGAAAAGTTGCTGTGAATAACTGAATACATTCGTCTCTGTTGGAACTGTTGACTATTTTTACTGAACCACTTTGTTCATGTTGATAATATTGTGTTATTACTAGATATTTCTGTTTCGTTGGAAATTACTGAACATTATTCTTCGGTTAACTGTAGAACCTGTTTTGGGATGTTCTCATCAAGAAGAAACAAGTCAGTCCGAGTTAAGTTGGTTGACAAAAAGAATGAACTTAAAGATTTCCTTCCTCTTGCACAGCAAATCACTTCTAATACACCCTTATTTCACGGTTCTGAAGTTAATAATGTCAGTAAATATAACAGTATTGGTTGTACTAGGTCTCGGCAAAATAACTAACATAGTGCAGAAAACCATACTAGAAATAGTGGTAAGTATAGTTAGAATAGAAACACTTGAAGATTAAATGTTCATCTTGAATTAAAATCATTTAAGATCCTTCATAGCAAGGGCAAAGTTAAGCCAGCATTGTCCCCGACGGTTATAGGGAGTGACTACCCGAAAGCAGAAATTAGGTATTTCGATGCAGAACCGAGGTCCTATTGGATATTCGTGTGTTCAGTTTTAATATTTGTGGTTTTGACGACGAATGATGATGAGCAATAAATACCATATCTCTCCCATTACTATAAAGGTAAAATCAAGATGGCTTGTAGTGACTCACGTTTATCACGAGAACACGACTGGTTTAATAAAAACAATTATTATTATAACCAACTGTACCAGTGTTTGTTTTAATGTGCTTTTGTTTGACTGTGCTAATGACAGCTATTTTGTGCTTCCATTCTTTTACACACACTTTGATTGTAACTTCGCGCGAATTCGGTTACCTTCTGTAACCAAGGTTGTATCCTGGCACGATCTCGGTATCCTTTCGATGCCACGAGATCGCCAGCTAATAAACCTCGACTTGGTCCATTAATTGCCTTCTGGTATTTGGCTTCTCGGGGATTTTATGGATCTATTTGGTTACGTCCAACCCTCGCCTTCTGATTTATTTGGCACGTGTTTCTTGGTGGCGGTGTTCATAGTTAATCCCAACTCGACGCCACGCTACAGGCTATTGAAAATCGACTACAGTTATAGTTATCTGCAATGTATAGAAGAAACTGCAAAATTTTTAAGCGGCGCATAGGAAAAGCTCGTAAGACTACTATAGACCCATTACTGTAATCCAAAACAGTCGCATTTAAGCAGTTTAATAGAGATGTGATTTGTGTACTGATTTATAGTGTACGTGCTGATACTATGTTAAGCCCATATAATTTGTTCCAGCCTCTAGACAAATCTTTTCATTGTTCTCAAGCCTGTCAATTATTCGCTTATTAATTCTGTTTTTATGTGGTGGTATTTAGTGCATTTCGTATCTTACGCACCATATGTCTGTGACTTACTTTGGTCGACTATAAATATCGATTCACGCTTGGCTAAAGTGAGCTGGCTCACTTGACTGCACTGCGCGTCGTTTAGCTTTGCTCCCTTCTCTTAGCTTTCTTTGCTTCGTTTCTCCGGCCGTTTGTTTGAATCAACGATTGTACGAAATATACGTATTAAAACATTTGTAGCGGTAAATAAGTCCCCAAAATAAATATCTCTGTAAGTTTTCGAAATTGAATGCTGATCACATTGGTTTTAATGGACTCACCTAGCTGAAGGCGCTCGGTCATGTATCCGCACCAGATCACAAGTGGGAACACCGTGTTCAACAACCCTTGCAATCGCTAGCCAGATTAGATCAGACGATTCTCGATATATTGATAGCCTATCAAATATATATTACGCACGTCAACTTTGTTCCAGACGTCAAAAGTTTCCTAACTGTGCCCTCAGAGCAAATTTCTGAAGAAAAAAAGAGAAATTGAGGAGCAGCAAGGCAATTGGATATGAACGCCAAACGTTGCTTAACATAGTGTAGTAGGACGGACAGAGGTATAATAAATTAAAATAAATTCATATTGTCTCTTGTTAGAGTGAAATGAAGTCAGAGGCTCCATATTAGAGAATGTGGTAATAAAGAACAATGAGTTGTGTCGTTTAACAAGTTGGAGTAAGCTCACATGAAGGAAGGGAAGTCAAGGTTGGTACAAGGAAAGCGGTTTATTAGAAGGGAGTGTGTGTATAGAGAGTGAAGTGTTAAGAATACTAATGACTATATGTTTTATCATCTAACATCTTTTATTTTTTGTCCATCCGATGCCAGCCACACAATCCTAGTGCAAAAGCCCGAGTTAAAATGTTATAGGTTGCCTCAATAGAATAGCTAGTCCAGCATAAAATTGGGAACATGAGTCTGAATGGTGAGCCCAGGAAGACAATCTATATCTCAGATTGACTGTCTTATTCTCAATCATAAAGAGCCTGATACATACGAAATGTTCTGCCCCACAAATATGGGTGGATTGAAGTCATTGCCCTCACCATCAATGCTTGCTGATCAGTAACTTTACCCTCCCTCCTTTTGTGATGTTAGGCTCATTGAAGCTTATTTTTGGATATATGTCATACCTCACACAGTCATCTGTGTTTCACATCCTGTTGGAAAACACTATTTCTATAAGTACCACTTTACAAGCTTATCAGACAGTTACAAGTTATGGACTGTGGGTAAGGCACCGATGCAGTGCTTTTGTTGACTATAGTATAAAGTATAGTTTGCCAATCAGAGTATAAGCATTAAGAAGGGTGTAATGTAGGATGGTTGTTTATTAAAGCAGGCGTAAAGTACACAAGTATACGAGTTGTAGATAAGGTAAAGAGTGGAGAAATAATATTAATTGCTAGTCAACATAGTGTACAGAAGAGTAAAAAGCTAATAAAGAACAAACAGGAAGAAACTCACACTAACTTGGTGCTGATGTTATTTTGTGTTGTCCTACCCAGTTGATTGGGAACAGGCTCCATAGTTGCAAGACCAGCGGTAGTCGGCAGTCGACTGTGCGGTCCCCTTGAATTTTTAGGGGGTAGTGAGTGTTCCTTAGCGATCGAGTTTAGTTGAACAGTATCGATAGGTCCAGTGAGTTACCTGTCTACTTCAAGTGAAGAAATAGGGTGGAAAATGTAACTAATACAACTTCAAAGTGGGAAAAATAAGGCAAACTGAACTTGAAGTCCGTTTTGGTCTAGACACGTAGAGAGCCTACGATGTCTGAGTGAGGCGCAGATGTGTTCGTAAGTGCTAGATCAGTGCAAGCGGGGGCTTGATCAAGCAGTTTTACAAATGTATGTAATTCACCTGCCATGCGTATTTTGGAGGGAAGACTGTTCCATATTATTGCATACTTGATGAGGAGGAAGTTTTCCCGAGTTTTTGATCTGCATTTCTCAACTTTGACGGTAGATACTTTGTTTCGAAGTTCGTATTCATGTGAATCTCTAGCAAGAACTATCTCACATGTTGAATGAGTAAGGTTCTTGAGTAGTCTGAAGTAGAGAATCAAATTAGACTTAAGCCTTCCCTTCCAAAGGGGTTTTATTTTTAAGATTTGGCATCGGGAACTGCGGTCAATGACTGAGTCAGTCTTAAGTATTTTGCGGTTGAAGTCTCGTTGTATTCCTTCCACATTTAGTATATCGGATATGCTTGTTTCAGAAATTAAGCCATGCATGTCTACATAAATACTGTAGTTCATGCTACTTATGTCGGGATAAGTAGCATATAACACCGATGAAAAGTGGAATGTTCGGTAGTAGAAGGTTGCGAAGAACGGAAACAGAGAGTAATGGTTATGGCAATGAAGGAACGATGAAGTTTGAGACAATTGGTAGAGAATTCGCAAATGAAGTATTGAACGCATGGTTTTAAAATTCAACCAGAGAAGTCTGTAATTTTGTATTAAAATACATAGGTTGTCCCTACCTGTATTCTTGTTTACAACAGTACATTAAAATAGTATAACCATGGATGGTTCATCAAATCAGTATTAGTCCCTTAATTCACAAACTGTACATGGATAGCTGTAGTAATTCTAGAGCTAATACATTCCTTGATTCCTTGGCCCACAAGAGGACGGGCTCATTTTTTAAAACACGAAAGCAACCAGCATGCATCTTTACCCTTCGTTTTCCATAAGCAATACTGCAAGTACTGCAACACATTGTAGCAAAGAACGCACTTTAGCTATAGAGGTGTTTATCCAAAAACCAGAGTTTACTTGTTATGGTTGTAAAATTTACAAAATTGATGGTTCTGCTGATCTCGCTTATTTTACTGAACACACTACGTCAGGCATAACCAGCCGCATTTCTCTGTGTTAAGCTCTAACCTCCAGCGTTTGCACCAGTCTTCTACCATATTGAATTCATGTTGGATTGTTTGCATAGTACTGCGTACATCGCAAATATCAGTTTTATAGATGACTTTTAAGTCATCGGCATAGAGGTAGGTCTTACCTGTGCTCAAGCACATGTATATATTGTTGATGTAGATTATAAGGAGCAATGGACTCAAAACACTACCCTGCACAACACCACTGGTTATTGGTCGAAATGTAGATGTTTTAGAGTTAGTCTCGGTTATTTGGTATCTGTTCGTAAGAAAAGACTTGGTCCATTGCAAAAGGAGATTTATAATTCTGACTGACTTAAGTCTGTTCATTAGAAGATTATAGGGCACTTTATCAAAGGCTTTCTTAATATCGAAATA